GATTGAATTTATTATTTATAACCACAAAATCCAAAATTGCAAATTCACTTGAAATCTGTTATGAAATGATCATTGCTATAATAGAAAGTGCATCCCCATTAAATGTATTTACACTTAAATAATAGTCTAAGGAAAAACACAGTACACTGGTAGTAGTGTATGTGTAAATATCAGACGTGTTCCTATGGTTAAAATAAGTCATATTTTATTTGATTCAGCAAACATCAAATAATTGATTTTATTTTCACTTCTATTGAAGTTAAGCTTCTAATAAAGAAGGTAGTACAATACTGATAACATTTATTTTGCATCTGAAAAGTCTATAAGCTTACCTTTGTACTATAACATTATACCAAGAATTATCCACCATGGGAACTGTGTCTGCCACAACCTGACCAATGCCACTACCAAGGTTGTATCGGAACTCCAACGTTCCATTGTAGATCCCAAGAGAGATGAAATCGGTTGTTGATGATTTGCCATTCCACAGTAATAGAGCATTGGGAGATGAATCATCAACTCGAAGTACTAGGTTAAAAGAATTCACCGTTGGATCGCCGTCACTAGAGGAAATTGATGAAAATAAGAGCAATGTTGAATATATAATGATTCTGCGAAGTGTGAATGTACAGTGATTAAAATATGCCCACAGGTAGTATGGTAATCGTTTTAATCAACATCCAACAGTGGTCAATGCAATTCTGGTTCTGTATTCTTGTGATATTTTATTATTATTATTATTATCATTATTACTTGGAATTTATTTTCACTGAAAGAATGAGTCAGTGAAAACAAAATCTAGCAAATAACTTTTTTCCTATATTTTACATTCAACTTTTACAGTAATACATTATTACCTCATTGCAAATAGCAGTAAAAAACAGTTAATTTGAATCTGAACAGTTAGTGAATGTCAGAGATATAGCTTCAGAACTGCATTCACTAAAACAAAGAAAAGTGTTCAAATGCGATGTACCGGTAAATAAATGGTAACCTGTTCAAATGTTGGTCGTATAGGAGTATGAATATGAAATTGTAAATTCTATTGATAACTGATATATAATATAAATACCTGACAATGATTTCTTTAGGATATTCTAAGTAGCTCAAACCAGAGAATGAAGGTAGAGTAAATATCAACTCTGTAAGTTAAAAAAAAACAGTCAACATTATGTGCAAGTGTAACAAGTCTGTTGGTGCTACAACTAAGTTAAAATAAGACAGACATGGAATGAATTACAGTGATGCCTTGAGACAAACACTTACCATTTGAGCATGTTGGACCACTGTATAAGTAAGTACATAGGCATAGTGACTGTCCTGTTGCATCGGTGTAGCACGTTCCTCCATTGTCACATTGTATGTCTCCTAAACTTCCGCATGTTGTCAAATCACAATCCGTTCCTGAAACATCAACCGTCAGAAGTAGTTTTAAAAAATGATGATACTGAATATAGAATAGATTTTGTTTTCACTCCAGTGGTGTGTGTCATGAGAAAAAGTACTGAAATAAAGTTGGTAGACTGCATTGCATATAGCCCTGGTTCTATATCTATGATAAAAATGCTCCCTGACAAGATTAATATTGAGGTACTAAACTCACCTGTGTAGCCAATGGGACACTGACATCGATATCCATTGGGCTCAGTCTCATCTTCAACACATTGTGCTATATCAGGGCATGTAGATGGGATACTACATATAGATGGTGCACAGTCTTCAACAGCTTTCCCCTCACTGGCTGCCGATAAATTTATCAAGCTTCCTTGAATCTGAACATCACGAATGCAGCCAATGTAGCCTGTGATAAAATAATATACATGTTCATGTGTAATCTCCCAGGGAAAAAACAATACATGTTATAATTATGTATAGTGTATTCATTGTTATGCTAAGCAAGCTGTATTGTCTATCCCCTACTCTAAATTACTCTGGAGAGAACCCATTATGTATATTACACTATTGCCAACAAAATGATTTAGTTTACCTGCGTGTGGAGCAAATCTTAGGTATGTATAAATGAGTGTACCTATGACAGGTAAGTAATATAATTTTGAATGTTATTATTTAAAACATTTTTAAAAACGTTTATCATGTTACATATTTAAACAACATATTTTAATAAATAATTAAAGTTACTTGATTTCCCCTGCTTCATGCTCAGACTGAAAAGGAACAAAACAAGGAATTGAAACAGGCACTAGTTTTGACACGAGAAACTACATATTTTATAAATAGTTTTTTTACCTCTGTTAACTCTGGCAGATGCGGGTATATCTATAGAAGCAGGTACTCCACCAATGTAAGTAACCTCACCTACATCCAGCTCCTGGGCTCCCCCAACAGCTTGCGAGGATATCATGTCACCGTCATCGATCATTAATGTCCCATCCTTTCCAGTACGTGTCGCTTGTATAGTGTGCCACTCATTTAGGGAGATTACATTGTTGCTTACAGCAACTGCTGCTCCTGTTAACAGAACAAGTATTCAAGTTATATGGGAATGGTTGTCCAAAAACAGGCATGCAAATATATAGCAACATCTAAACATCATAAATCTAACATCCGCAGTGAGAGCAAACAAACTGACAGGAACACCAATATTTCACTTCCAACATTGTAATATTTTCAGAATATTGTCTTCAGTTTTTTGCTATTGCTTCAACATTTTCAATACCAACAAGCTGAGGCTCCTAGACACAATCATCTCATGTGGGATATGCATAACTAAAGTGAAGTAAAAACGCTCAGATTCAAACACTG